GATAGCATAAAGCAATCTGAAGCTAAAATAGTCCCAAATGATGAAAGGTAGTGAAATGCAAGGTCACTATATTCCACATTTGTGGCATACTTAACCTTTGACCTTCAGGGCCAGTCAGACATCACGGTAGAATAGGTGAAAGCAGCGAACAACCAATTATAATTGGAAATAGTCCTCTCAGGTACACAGGGAGGACCACTTTTGTAGGAGCCTAAAGTGATTAATCATCCTCCGCACTTGATCAGATCATTTAAACACAATCTATTAAATGTCTCCTAGATCTCATCATCATCACTGAGATCATTATATCATTATTCAAGGCTTGAATCTTATTTTACTGAGTATGCTGGATTTACCATTACTAACAAGTTTTCTATTCCAAGGGTATGGCAATAACCTGTTGAACTTTTTATTATGTAGTTTTGCCTGAAACATAAATACAATTTCCCATGTTTAAATAGCTTTGCAAATTGTTTCACTTGTTAGGATCATAAATCTCACTCCAAATGGTTCCCTTATATTGACAGTTTAACATATCCATCTCTTAATATCTACACTTCTTCATTAATAGTCCAAATTTAAACAAACGTTTCAGGATAATTGGTATGAATGTTCTTTTATCCATTGATATATCAGTCATAAACTTACCTTTTCTTTTTCATGAGGAAGATGGGTAACTGGTAGGAGAGATGAAGGGGAAGAATTATTGTATTTTGTTGCTCCCCTACCTCCTGCATTTCCATAATTCACTCTGTATAGAGGTCCATCCTTTAATATTCTCCCATTATTCACAGCACGCTTGGTAGCTAGTCTAAGCCTCTGCTGAAATGTGGAACTGCTGGTAATAGTAGCCAAATCACTTTGGCTTCGCAAATATTTCTCTATATTCTTGAGTGACGAACCATTTGGTTCTGCCAATCCTTCGACTGCTCTCTTGAGTATCTTATTCCAGTCCACATTAACAATGTCGATGCAGTTTTTTGATGTACATCCTTGTGTGGATTTTGAAAGACTGCAAGGCTTAATGGATGCAAAGCGTCCAGGTTTCTCTGGATCCTTGTATGATGAAAGCCCTTTATTTGTAACTTTAAGTATAGTACCATCTTTCACACTAAGTTCCAACTGTTCTAGGACAGTCTTCCTGTCCAATCCATGTGAAGAGGACACTGCATGGCAAATCCTCTCCTCTGATGGCCTTTGCTTTTGCTTTTTCACTTTCTGAATAGCTTCTAGAATCCATTCAGTGTATAGTGGGTTTGCCAGCTTTACCATGGTTGACCATTCATATGTTGCTCAGTCCCAATGATAGGCATAGAAATTACTCCTCTTCCATGTGTTAGAACAATCCCATGTCAGAAACTGAAAGGCCTACCTGAGAAAATAAAGAATTCTCTGAAGTTAGGACTGCAGCATGCCTCAACATCAGCACTTGTAACATGTTTACTCGTCAAACTATCCGTCAAAACTGCAATGAGCCCAATTAGCCTTTGAAGACAGTAGATAAACAGGATAATCTTCACAAGGTTGAACCAACAGGTTTTGAAAAGACTCCCCGTGGACTAGTTGAAAATGTAAGATTAGGTCCTGTAAGGCAAAAGGTAAACAATGTCAAACACGTCCTCTGTAAAATAAACTGCAGTCAGAAAAAAAACACAAAACCAGCAACTTATTCTCCGTATAATATATAGCATATATCTGCATGTTTGTTTAGATTGTGAATTTCAAATCCCTTATGTTTACATCAGAATGTCACCATTGTAAATACACGTGGAATATTGCAAGTTCTCCTAATCTCGCTGTGAATCTTGGTACAAATATATAGGTGATATCTCATTCCCCTCCTAAAACAAAAATCAATAAAGTAGGAAAAACTCGGTTTCATCACGTCTCAGTGATATATTTTCAGGGAAGCAACTTTAGAAAACGTTGTTTTCTATCCTATCCACCATCAGGGTTTATTTAACAGTGACTTTAACTCACGCCGCATTTCTTGCTTTCTTCTGCTAATGGGCACTTTTTTAAAAATGCGTATATAACAGTAACCAACAAATGCACGATCCACTGGCGACCACAGTTCTGCAATCATTTAAAGTCCTCAACATGCTGGCAGCAGCATCCTGTCTGAATCGGTCTCAATACCGCATCATCAGCATTCAGGGTCAAACCAGGAATTGCTGGAGAACCACTGCGTTAAAACCCAATGAGAATCCTTTTATATGTATAAAAGGCATCTCATCATTAACCATGATCACAGCAGTCGATAGCCTTCCGCATTATTCTTTTCAGGGAGCACACAATGCAGAGATCTCTGTTGCTCTACAAAGGTTTGGCTTCGAAACAAAACAGCTTTGGAAAAACAGATCACGCACCTTGCTTCACACTTAAGCGCAGAATCGGCTGATACCTAGCAGAGCAGACGCCATTTTGTTCCAATGTTTGAACACCGGAGTTTACATGAAAGCGACATGACACTGATTACAGCCGAATGGAGTCCCATTATACCTCAGCGCGCAACCTAACACCAGCCTGGAAGTCCCGCCTCTGAGACTTAGCCATTGGCCAGAATCCCCACCATTCACGGGCAGTCCACGTCATGGTTGAGCAATTGCTCTGTCAATCAACTCTACGTCCCATTCCACCCGCCCCTCCCCATTTCAAACAGGTTCGGTTGCCTCACAGTATTTATGTCATTTGCGCACTGGGCAAAGCCCGAGCTAAATTTTAAGTTTAACGCGCTCTCTCTCCTCGATCTATCATAACAGCTTCGATCAATTTTATTTTCCTCCACCAAAGCAGTTTGCAATTGCTGCAACTGAGTAGCTGTCAAGTTCAGCAAAACAGCGTCCGAAATTAAAACTATTTTTGAGTCCTTCATGAGTCGATAACTAAATATGACGTTCCTTCTTTATTCTAAAAGTGCCCATTAAGGTATGTTTCGACGGCGGACGTTTCAAACGCACCCTCCCATATTTGTCTTATTTACGAAAAAGAATCCGTCAAACTATAGATCGATTTTGGATGAACCATTTGGATCAGTGTCTAATGCAGTGCTGCCCTCACTGATACCAGCAACCACCCTCTGTTGCTTAATGCAAGGGGAAAAACACAACAAAGTGAGCCATTTCACAATTTTCGCCCTCCCGTTCCTTGCAAATTAATATTTATCAGAGGAGGCTTGTCGGGTGTTCTGCTCGCGCTGCTTTTGAAAATTCAAATAGGATTGTGAGCTGCGCGAGCGGCAAATTTCTACGTTCTTTTTTTTAAAAAACCTCAAAAAGGAAGCAACATGGCGCTTAGATTTATAGTATTTTATTTTTTTAAAGCACCCGGAAGTGGCAAGTTCTTTTTTTTAAGCACCACCTCTTATTCGTGTTTATTTTGAGCCCTTTTCTCTCCTTTTGAAAAGAACTTCTGAAGAAAACGTATCTGTCTCAGTTGGAATCTTCTGGAAGGTGCTGTACTCCGCCCCCCCCCGCCGGAAAAAAATAACGTCCAACGTTCGCTCATGAACCACAGGCGGAGGCGGCGTGAGGCAGTTCGTGGGGGCGGGTGCCACGCGCCAGAGGCTGCTAACCGCCACTCACGAGAGCGGCTCTCCCTTAGCCGCTTGATAACCACCAACTCCTGAAGGTTAATCATCTGCGTGTGCGCCACCACCAGCTAGTGCCCACTGCCAACCCCCACCGCCAATTCTGTTCGCTTTTTGTTGCTGCAGCTTTCCACTCAGCAGCGTGCCACTTTGGACCCTGCCCTGCAGCTTTTATTTTTGTTGTTTTGATGCTTGCACCTTAGGAACGTGACCCTCCAGCTCTCCAGTTTTATTTTGTAGGACCGTGCCCTCCTCCTGTTCAACTATCTAGTTTTTGTCCTGATACCTACTTTTTCTTTTGATAAAGTTTATTTGCCTTTTGCTCCTGGAACAATTTTTGATAATCTCCTAGTAAAACGGGGATTGAGACCTGGTTGCCTAGTGGCTCAGATCGCATGCTATATGCCAGCTGTCTCAATTTCTTACTAACAGATGGCACACGCACCACTGAGGCGAGGCTCTGAAAACACACAAAATAGCCCATCGTTAATTCCAAGGGCGATTTTTCCAACCCCCTTTTTGCTTTTGACTGTACTTGAGATCTACTTCATGTGCACTTGCATCATATTTTGAAATAATGGGTGTTTTTTCTTGCCAGTTAATGAGATAGGAATGACCTCTAATTAAACAATTCATAATTATAGCAAAAATGTGTTTTGAAGAATTATCAGTAAACTAACCTTGATAATTTTAATATGGACATTTTTAGTACTATTTTACAAACATCAAACTGCTGCAATGAGAACACAGCCTAGAATTCCAAATCAAAATGGAGAATAAGGTCATATGCACACACGTTATCAAATATCTGAACATCAAGGATTAAGAATAGTGCTGAGAACCTAAATGGCACACAAGTGAACAAGATGATGTTAAACAATTGTCCAAT